TTTTATATATTTTTTATATATTTTTTATATATTTTTTATATATTTTTTATATATTTTTTACATATTTTTTATATATTTTTTATATATTTTTTATATATTTTTATATATTTTTTATAAAGAGGTTTTTTCGAACAGTAGTGATCTACAACAACAAAAATTTAATTTTTTTGTATTATTTTAATTAATTGAATTTTTGGCTGACCATACAACTGTTTCGAGTTTTGCCAAATACCCATCATCAGTAGCCTTGGAAATAATTCTTGTATTTAATTATTCGTAAATAATTATTTTTGAGACTGCAAGTACCAGGATTCGAATTTGAGCCCTGCCAAATGTGAAGCTCAGAATCAGCGGATCTTAACCAACTGATCCAAAGCCGTACTTGACTTTTTTGTTCGCATATTTTTCTGGAGTTTTGTTACTTTTGCTATTAAAGTTTTTTTTTTTATTAACAATTTTACTTGCTGTGTTTATATATTAGAATATTTATTTATATATTCATTTTATATTAATTTATTTATTTATTAACATCTAAAGAATGTCATTTTTTTTTTTTTTTTTTTTTTTTGGATGATATAAAAAAAATACATTGAAGAAAGCTTACTACAGATTATATTTGATATTAATATAACTGAGGCTCAGTGGAGTATTACAATTACATTACATGATTTACAGACCCGTTCTTCTTTTACACCTCTATTAAATTAAATTATCTGATTTTGCAATTATAAATTTCTTATACTTTTTAAGTCGAGTTTTGTAAATTTTTAGTATATTATTTGTATTGTCTTTAATCGAACAAATAATTACATGATATTACATGAAAATGGCTGTTTGCACAAGCCATTTTTTAGATAATAATGTGTTTTTTACCACTCTCTGGTAAAATAGTTTTTGCCTTTCTTAGCTTAAGGCAGGGGAGTCCAGAACAGATACGTTTGCGGGCTAATACAAATTACTCTGCAGATTGAAGGGCCGCAGAAACATATTGGGATATGGTATCCCAATAAAATAATGTAATTTTTCCAAAATATATCAAGGAAAAATTAGCGTAATAGAGGAAAGTTTTTTAATATTTAAAGATTAAAGGCATTTTAATATCTCATGTAAATGCACCATAAGAACTATTTTATAGACATGAAGTAGTACATACATAGTACAAAAATGGAAGAAAAATATGAAACCATGCAGTAGAACAGGTGAAAATAATAAAATTCTTAAATTTTTTGTTATATGGAAATTGTGTTTATTTTATATTAAACAATAAATATGAGGTATAATTGTAATAATAAATTATTAATTCGACTTAATAAATAAAAGCCTTTTACGAAATACACTTAAAGGAATACGAAAACAAACTCATTTTATATACAACAATTGTGGTACATAATTGAGTTATTCATCTTTGTTGTTGATAGCACGCAATTGTTCCAATTCGGCACGTTCCTGTTTGTTGCGTAGGAGTGGTACATTGTAATCGAATGCGTAGAAGAAACCTCTTGGTGGACCTTGCTCATCTGGACCAGGTACATATGGTTTCTCTTCATGTACATATTCCTTATATGCTGGTTCTTGTGGTACATTACGACTTTCTTGTTGATATTCAGGTGCATATGGATCGGGATTGTGTCCAGCAGCAGCAGCTAATTCTCCCCACAATTTGAAATGTTCCTCTTCAGCTTTCAAAACAGCTGGAGTCTTAGTAGCTGGTGATTTTAAATGAGCTGGACGATTGTCTTCAACATGGAAACCAGTATGATCAGCATAATAGTTGGCAATAAAGTCACGTCCATGTGGTTGAACATATTTGTATGTGCCTGTTACTGTGCCGCTTTCATCTTTTTTCTCATTTTTACCTTGATTCCAGTCTTTGTAACCATAAATGTATTGACCCAAACCATCTTGACCATGATATTGATGTGCATCATAATGTTCTTCAACATAATCTTCAGGATGATCGATTACACGTCCCATATAAACGAATTCACCTTTTTCATTGCGTGCTTCTGGTAGTTCATTTTCGCCAGTTTTTGGTGCATATTCAATATTATTCAGTCCACGTAAGTTTGCGCTATTGATGAATTCTTGTGCTTCTTCAGGTGTAATATTTATTTTAAATATATTTTCTGCTAATAAAATAGCTGGCAACGCCTGTAATTAAAAAGAAAATAATGTGGTTTAAAGTAGTGTTTTTTGTGAGACATATTTATTATATGTGCTATATATAGGCTTATGTTGTGAATTTTATAATTTAATTTCAAAGCATATTTTAAAATAACTAAAAAATATTGTTTTTAATATTGAAAACGTTCATGTGACGGGTTTCTGCAGGAATTTTTTTATTTGTTTATGCGTAAATGCTATCAAAGGCATATTTGTCTTTTATTTTCAAAATTGTTAACAACTTTTTTCGATTTATTTCACATCTTTTGATGCTGTTAGCTGGCACTCAAATTTCATTTAGTTTTTCGGTGTCAGATTTTATCAATGGTAAGAATTACTTGTGCTTCCGGAAATTCTATTGGCATTTCTTCAAATTCAGTGTCTATGTGCAGACTAAAATAACTATATATCTTTTCGATTTTTTTTTAATAATATTACAAGCTCTTAGTCTTACTTTTTAATTTTAATTAAGTTATAATATTAAAAAAATTTAAGGCAAAGTTTTATGAAATGGAATTTAACTTTAATCACATAAGACTTCAAAATTTAATATTTTTTATAAGACCGGGTCTTAGGTTTTTATGTAAATTTATTATCAATTTATATTAACTGTTTAGTTTAATGTAAGTAAATCAGTTATATTAAAAGTGATATATGGATATTTCAACAAAATAGACAAAGTTTTCCATTTTTTGAATATGACGAAATTGCATCACTCACTAAAAATAAACACAAGTTTCAACACCTTGGATTAATCTTAAGTCAAGTTACTACGCATTCATATTTTTGTATCTTAATAAGGTTTTTTTTTATAAAAATTAACATTTTTATTTGAAATACAAATTTAAGAACGAATTTATTTAAACTCTGAATAGAAAGAAGTTAAGACAAGTTTAAATGGAGGAGAAATTAACATCACAAAATCGTTCAATTAATTTATTCCACTTTTTTTCAAGAACCCGGATATCGTGATACTGTAAGATTTGCATATACAAAACACCAGCGATTAATTAATTTTTTAACTGACTATTAAATGCAAATATAATTATATAATGCATTAAATATAATTTTTTTTATAGATGCATTCTTTTTATATATGTAGATTTTGTAACCGTGAAGCACATCTCTCAGTTCTTCAAATAAACATTGTGCAAGTCAATTTGTATAGTTTTGTTGTAATTATAACTGTTTATTTAGTAATACTATTAAATAATAATTCTTAATTGTTTTTTGTTTTTGTTGTAATATTAAATATACTAACCATTAGTAACACGCTAAAAATAATACACTTCATGTTTACACTTTTTTAGCTTTGAAAAATTCACTTAAAATATTTCAAGATTTTTTCACAGATGATCTTAGTATATCTGATAATAGAACCGTTCGCTACTATTAGCTCTTCACTTTTAATGTCGTTTCTAAACTTATCTGCTTCTTATATAGAAAATAAACACATTGAGTTTATGTTCGAATCAGCTTTTCAGCTAAGCTGACAAATCAAATTCGATTTAAAAATTATTATTCGAAAAAAACAAAAAAATAATATTTAAATTTTTTTATTTTTATTTTTTTTTTCATAATTTTGCTGAATGAAGATGCTCCCGCCACAGCATCTCGGAAAGCGTCATAACAATTCTGTTGCCACTTGAATAACACTCGGTTATTGTTTTTGTTAACTCGTTTTAAGAATTGTTTTTGTTGTTGTTGTTGTGAAGACTTGTGCCGGTTTCTTACTCACCATAATCATTTCGCTATAGTAAACTTCTAATGGTCCATTAAGCATACTCGTGTGTCAATACGAATAACATTGGCGATGTTAGAAAAGTTGTGATCTATTGAAATCAAACGTAGTTGAATTATCTACAGAAATTGATTTTCAATTACAAATTAATAAGTTTAACATTAGTTTTAATTAAAGAATAAATGTACATTTTTTTATAATATAGATAAGTATACCTATATAATTATTATTGATTTGCAATTTTTTAATCAAATCTTTTGCCTTTTTGACTTATTAGTCTTTCTTATCTCATCTTTATAGCGAATTTAAAATAGCGAATATGCATGATCTTAAGTTTATATATCACTACTGTCGAGTGTTCAGACTTCACAGCAGTAGTTAAGATTGGTTCAAATTGAAGTACTCTATATGGGTATTTATTACTTGTGTGACGTAACGAGGGTAACAATTTATATTAAATTATTTATAGTAACTACTTATATTATAAATTTTTTGCTAATAATAACAAAATAGTAATTTTCCATCGAAGTACTTCTTCATTGTGTTTTATTCATATTCATTTTTATATGATCTTTAAACTTCTGTATGTCTTTGAATCTTTTGATAAATCATTTCTTCCATTCTGCTTAAGCCTTCTCCAAAAAATAGTTTCTAATCGTATAAACATCTTCTGCCGATGAAAACTCTTGTCTAACAGTTTGTCTTTGAAGTGCAGAAATAAGAAGAAATCGTTAGGTGCCAAAAAGGACCATAAGGCGGAGGAACTATTAATTATTTAATTGTTTTGAGTGCTTAAAAAGTTACTTGCTTAAGCGGATATGTAAGACCTAACATTAACGTGATTGAGAATTATTCGCTTTTGACGAATAGTTTTCTTTTCTACAAAAATAAAATTACTGGAGGATTACCTATAGTTTTCAAAATTAACACTTCGTCGTTCTATTGACACTGTTGACACATAAACCATAAGTTCTTACGAATAGATCCATATTTCTGTACTTGTCAGAAATTGACGCCTTTCTTAAACATTTTCTTTCTCTGTGAATGAAAGCTTATATTTGAGCTTTTATTAAATTATTTGGAATTCAATGAGAACAAATCTTTTTTACGACTTAATGCAATGTATCATGTATTCTAGTGGAATTAAGAACTAAATGGGAAAATGTTTCAAAATGAGAAAGATTTTTCTTATTCAGCGTCATCTTATATTGTTTTTTTTGATATGATTTATACTGATTGTACCAAATAAACGCAGATTCGAGTGTTGTTATTCTAAATAATTTTTTCGTACCAGATCTGTTTTCGAAATTATATAGTATTTGACTAAATATCAAGCGCGGACTTCTTTGTTGTAACTGAAATTAACTTCAAAAGAATCCATAACTTTTCTTTGTATCGAGTGTTTTTTTAGCTGCATGAGAACTTGAAATGATAACACAAAACAGAAATATTGTTGAAATGAAATTTTTTATATTATAATCTGATAGATAATATCATGACATCTTTCAATATGATTTCTGGCTACGGGTACGAGTTACATGATCTATTCAGCCCAATTTTTGACTATATTTTGCAATAAATGTAGCCATATGGCGCTAAAGTTGTCGTTGATGGCATAAACATTGGCTTCCAATACTTCAAGAATTGCTGGTTTGTCGACATGAACCAATGACTTAACACAGCCTCATCTTCATAAAAAGTAATCGAGAGGTGTTAAATCGCGCAAACGAGGGACCAGTTACCAAATCGATTTTGCAATAAATGGATTAATTGTTGGAAACCAAAATTTAGTCAGCATGGCTCGATAGCGATCGCCATTCACCGTTACGGTAGCTTCTTGCTCATTTTGAAAGAAATAAGGACCGATGAAGCCACCAGTGTGTAAACCGCACCAAACATTCAATTTTGAGGAACTACATTTAATACGAAATCCTATTTTTTAATTACAAGATAAAGCTTATTGAATGTCAATATATTACGAATGAATGTTTGCATAAAATTAGTTATTCACTTATCTATTTGAAGGAAATTGACAGTAATAATCACTAGGATTTTTTGTAAATACTATTATGTGTTCGGAACTGATAAACTTCGATAGTTGTGATATATTAATTTGAGACTCTTTTTTTCGCATAGACTCTATATTGCTTAAATTTAGTCACCTGATTTAATTAAGTACTTTTTAAGTCTTTCTTTTTATATATAGATATAACAATGCTGCGATTTAGGTCAAGTCTCCTTGCTTCGATATTTGTCTACAGCAATAGAGTTTTATAGAAAAACTTGAAAATATATGAAATAATTAATATTTTCGGTCTCTGATTTTCTTCTATACTACTTTTATTTTTGCTCTTTATTAGTTATTTTGGTTTCTTCTTAGCATCTTTGTGCAGTACCAATTATTATGTACGAAACTCATACCATCTGATGTGTAAGTTGATATGTGTAAAGGATACTAAAGCTTTTCTAAAAGTTCCAATATAATTAGTGAACATAATTTCAAAACTGATCGAACGTGCGAATTTTGTAATAATTTTCATTTTTATAATTAATATTACTTATTTTTTTATGATTTTTTACTTTTTTTCTGCTGTTGACTCAAGAACGTAGAGCAATTAACTTAAAATTATTCAATTTTTTTTTAAATTAGATTTTTTTAAAACTTTTTTTTGTGCCTCGTTACCCTCATCAATTCTAATAGACATGTATGCTTAAGTAATGAGCTTGGTAATTAATATTACAGTAAATTGTTTTTCAATACTTGCTTTGAGTTCATGAGACTACTTGAAGCGTTCGAATAAATATTCACGTATTAAATTTCCTATTGAAGTCGGAAGTTAAAATAAATTTTATTGATTATATATATTGTATATATAAAAACAAGTAATTTATTTATTTTAAGGGCAATTTTTATTGTTGCTTGAGTACACTTCAACTTCTCTGATATGAGATTGAACTACTTGATTGGTTGGCTATACAATTTTATTCTTATGAAAAATGATCAAATAAGTTCACTTATAAAAAATTTTTTACTTAAATGTCAATTTTAAAAGATTTTAATAATATATCTTGAGGCTACTTGTTTCAATAATGATGAGTATAAAGTGTTAAACAATAATATTAATCATTTTTTATATGAAATTAGATATTTGTAATTTTGTATTATTACTTACTTATAGAAATATATACAATCAGTTACTGAGAAATTTTTATTTGTTTGACGATTTAAGTATATTTGAGTATTTAAACAAATAATTTTCAAACATTACTTAAACAAATTAAAAATTCGTAAGTAAGACCCCCTTTGAATAGCATTATAAGCTCTGCCAAAGGTTCTAAGTGATTCTAAAACTCGTGAATTTTTCAATATACTGTCACACAATGAACCAATAAGCCCTTTATAGCATTATATCCACTATAGTAGATCCCTTTGAATCACCTGTATAACTTACTTACCAACCTAAAGGTTCGTAAACACAAAAAGTTATATAGATAACTAATATCAGATGAATATATCCATTTTCCTTGCTACTTTGATATCCACAATCAGTGCTGTCCTGAAAAAGTTTTTCTGCTTTTTGTAGTCTTGGAGAATGAAAATGATTAACTTAATTGCAAGAACAGCTATATTCCAGCAAAGCAAATTATTTCCATATAAATAATTGTCGGTAATCATACAAACATACATTGTTTAAATTCTTACAACCAGCTTAAAAACGTGGACAATAACTAAGCACTGATCTTATGCATCTTATTTTATGTTGTGTAAATCAATGAGTCTGATAATACATTTATATTCAAGCAATTTTGATCCGAGATATAAGATTTCCCTCTGTTTTCTGCTTAATTATATTTTAGTTTCAGGAATAAATTTAAATGAGTAAAAAGCTCTAAGCTTCAATAGAAAGACTATAATAGAACTTTAGTACTCAACTTTAGACCCTAAACAAACTGAAAAGATTAAACTTTAATAATGAAGGTAACAATATTTCTCGTCAAGAATTATATGTCTCGGCCTATTGTTCTACTCTTGGTCGATGTTAAAGATTTGTATTCAGTGACGTGACTTCTAGTAGTAACGAATGTAGCTTCTAATTACAAATGACTTAATTACTAGTCCCCTAGACATAAAGAATGTGACTTCTAGGTACAATGATTATGATTTGTTGGTACAAAGATTGTAATTTGTCGTCACGAAGACTATAAAAACATTTTATTCTTGGTAGAAATTCTATTTTGCTCAGTCAGATAGCCTCATCTTATTAGTGGAAATCATCATGAGTTGGTGTATAACGTTTTTTTATTGGAACATACACATATTTACATGTTTGACCCTTTGCAGAAAGTCCATCCTTCTCTGCGCTAATGTCCTTAGCGCTTATTCTTATTTGTTAATAACGATTATTGTAAATAATTTATTCATTTAGCTCATTTTATTAATTTACTTAGAATAATTTTTTCAGTCAATATCAATTTCGTTATCATTTATTATAATAGAGTATCAATATATATACAAATATATTTGTGACAATTTTAAAACACTAATATAAGAATTTCAGTGTATTATATTTATATTCCACAAATTCAAATAACAAGAAATAAACAAAAAAATATTGCAAAATATTTTAAAAATAGGTCTTTCATTCATAC